AGGTATTTTGTGTTAAGTACATCGCATAGACTTTTAAGTACCATCAGCGTGAGACACAAAAAGTTTGGAATTTGTATATACCGTAATAAATTGATGAGAAGATGGCAGTCCATAAACTACCTTAGGTAGCTGATGTGCTAGGTATGCTATCCTACATAGTTTGTGGGTTCTGATCAAAATAAGTCAAGCAATCTCCACCTGTACAACATCCAAGATGTGAAATTTTCCAGGGATGGTACATTTATAGGCTGCGTGTGCATTCATCAGCCAGCTGGGGCCCAGAAAAAGACAGCTACACAGCTTGAGTCATTAATTTGGGAGTCTATACCAAGGTCTGCTGAAGGCAGTGGGAGTTCTTCCATTGGCTTCAGTGCATTTTGGATTAGAGCTTGAGTATCTGTAATGAATATTTGAGTATCTCCTGATCTTCAAACTACACACTACAGTGACTTCCCAAAAAGCCTCTGTTATTGTCAGGTGGCTGTTGTGGTTGCTCGAGAGTAACCAGGCAGGACTCCGACCTGTGTTTTACAGGCTTTATTTTGGTGCAAACTACTTACAGTGTAGCCACTGAGCCTAGGACTTGCCGATCAGAAGTTCGGCGGTTTGAATCCCCGCGACAGGGTGAGCTCCCGTTGTTCGGTCCCTGCTCCTGCCAACCTAGCAGTTCGAAAGCACATCAAAGTGCAAGTAGATAAATAGGGACCGCTCCGGCGGGAAGGTAAACGGCGTTTCCGTGCGCTGCTCTGGTTTGCCAGAAGCGGCTTAGAAATGCTGGCCACATGACCTGGAAGCTGTACGCCGGCTCCCTCGGCCAATAAAGCGAGATGAGCGCCGCAACCCCAGAGTCAGCCACGACTGGACCTAATGGTCAGGGGTCCCTTTACCTTTACCTATTTACAGTGACGAGCCCCAAAGCTCATGTCTGGCTCAATCGCTAGCAGAATCCGGGAGTGGTCCTTTTTTGGACCTCACCCAACATAAGAGTTTTGTTACCCCCAACTGTCTCCACCCTTCTCTGCGCCTCAGACTACTGCGCAGGATGGGTGATGGCAAGGACGTGTTTCCCTCCTGTCCGGCTTGCCCAGGAGCAGTGTTAAGGCTCCCACCAGCATCCTCTGGTCCTTGCACCTCTTCCCCACTGGAGGTGGGGCTTTCCTCCTCCCCAGAAGAGGAACTGCTTCACAAGATTTTCGGAGGCTCCCTTCTATTTCTTGCCTCTGAGCCGATGGCAGTTCCCTGGCAGTTATGATGATGACGGCAATGATCAACAGGTGCAAAAATAAAATGATCCATTCAGATCACCATTTCAACACTTGCTTTGATTTAATAAAATCAGGAAAATAAAAAGCTATCCATGTTTTTTTTTTTAACTGGGCTAGTTTTTTTTTTAATTTTCAGCTTACACCAGCTGCTATAAAACTTCAGATTCAAGCAATTTCTGTTGGTGAGTGTTTGTACATGGGGCACCTTGAGTTGGTTCTTTGAACCAAAAATCACGGAAGTTTTCATACCCCTGAACACTACACACCAGGGCAGTCACAAACAACTTACACTGTCACTATAAACAGCATAATTTTTCTAGAAAAAGAGGTGCCAGAACTCACCATGAATCCCTCCCTTATTCTCTTAAAATGGCAATGGCACCCACCTGAGAGGTGCCAGAACTGAGTTCCAGCAGCTTCCAGCTGAAAGCTATATTGTACTGCATATAGCTAACAAGAGACGCGGGTGGTGCTGTGGTCTAAACAACTGAGCCTCTTGGGCTTGCCGATAGGAAAGCCAGTGGCTTGAATCCACGTGACAGGGTGAGCTCCCATTGCTCTGTCCCAGTTCCTGCCAACCTAGCCATTCGAAAGCACGCCAGTGCAAGTAGATAAACAGGTACCACTGCGGCGGGAAGGTAAACAGCATTTCCGTCATGGTCCTCCGTGCACCAGTAGCGGATTAGTCATGCTGGCCACATGACCCAGAAAGCTATCTGTGGACAAATGTCGGCTTCCTCAGCCTGAAGTGAGATGAGCGCCACACCCCATAGCCACCTTTGACTGGACTTAACCATCCAGGGGGTCATTTACCTTCTACCTTTATAAGTCAAGTGATCTGGGTTGTCACCAATATGTGGATGACACCCAGTTCTCTCACTCCTTCTGAACAAATGTAGGTGAGACAATGGGTATTATGAATCAGTACCAATAAGCTGAGATTCAACCCAGGCGAGGGAGAGTGAGTTCCATTGCACAACTGAGTAGTGTTCAATCTGTTTTGTAGGCGTTGCACTTCCAGGTTCATATAGGGTACGGACTCCTTTTACGGTTGCCGTATTTCTAAAAGTAAAAACCAGGACACTCCCAAAGTTGAGCTTCTATTTACAAAAACACCAAAACAACAACAACACATGATTTTTCAACTGACTTGCCTAAGATCCAGGACAAAGTGCCGCCTTTCGGAAATTTCCCCGGGTGTCAATTCTGTCTTTGAAATCCTGGTAATGTCTGGGAAAATCTGGACGTATGGCAGCCCTATATTTGATCCAGCTCTTCCTAGAGGCAAAGGTAGCCTCATTAGGTTAGGCAGATAAATTAGTAGGGACCCACGCCAGACAAAAATACCCTTGCTACCGTTATCCATGTTCTGGCATTCTCTAGTTTGGATCATTGCAATGCATTGCATGTGAGACTACACCGAAGTATTAGACCAGTATTTTGATGTCTGCAGTGGCTTCCAGTCCATTTCCAGGCCTACTTCAAAGTGCTTGCATGGCCAAAACTGGCCTGGGGCAAGATTGCTTGAAGGAGATACAGTACACCTCTCTGGACCTCAATATTGTCTTCTGTGGCTGTTCTCTGGGTGCTTCTACCAAATGAGGGGTGGCAGGTGGCTATGAGAGAGAGGACCTTCTCTGTGGTGGCTGTCTGGTTGTGGAAAGCCCTTCCTTGGAGAGGTTTGCGTGGAAATGTCTTTATGGTCTTTTTTGCACTAGGTATTTCCATTTGAAAACATTCCAGAGCTTTGTAGAGCCATTGTATAGATGCCATGTTCTGCTGCTGATTTTACCCTGGTTTTATTTTGTGGCTGGTTTAGTTTTGTTGTTGGAGTTTGTGTTTATTATGCATGTTGATTTTTTTTTTACTTGTAAATTGCTGAGAGATTATTTGTTATTGGGCAGTGTATAACAAACAAGCAAGGAGTGACAGATGTTTAACTCTCCCATTGAAACCAACAGAGCATTATCAGTGGATGGTGCAAATGGCAGAAAGTTCGCTTTTCCGTTTCAAGGAAAAGCTCCTTCATGCGTTGTCATTTTGCCCACAATGAACTTGCTTTCCCATCTGGTGAGATTTTTCAGCTGCTTATGAATGTAGTCATCACTGCACACATCTAACAGCGGTCTGAAATAGAAACCTGCCTTTTGATCGCTGATGAGTATTTGGAGTCCTCTCATGTCACACTTTCTAAAGCCCATGCAAATCAATACACAATTTCAAACTGCCTCCAGGCGTGTCTCACACCCGCTGTCCATCCCTTTCAGTAGGTCTGGGGACTGATACCAACAATCACCTTGAACTTCATTTTAACTTTTTTCCCCCGCAACCTCCGTATCAATAAAGATAATTGCATTTCATAAAATGATGGAATTTAAGGCTAACTCAGTTGCAATTTCCTCCTCTGCTACTGAAAGTCCTTCTTTGCACTATGTTAAAGCATAAGACGAAGACTAAGAATTCAGCTGAGTATGTTATCACTCCACTTTCTGGTTCTTAATCCATTCTGCATCAATGAAGAGCATCTTGCCAACTGCTTCTATGGGTGATTAAAAAATAACCTTAAAATCTAGTTCTGGTCTCTCCTCACTTTCTGAGCACAATTTTTTTTTTTACATCAATTCCAGTGGAAGGTTTTGATTGTAACTCAACTTTAGCCCTCCTTTTAATACAGAAAATATGAAAATATGACTCCTTCAGATATACTGGTTATCTTTAAAACAAACAAACAAACAACTAGCTTCAGGTTTGTAGCCAGCACACCTTCTAATTCCAAGACTTCGAACAGGGGAATTCCAAAAAGAAATCTTAACCACCCCGCAACAACATTGAATATACTCAGGACAACTTCAAAGACAGACAGAGGTAAACCTTGAGCCAGGTTCAGATAAATGTTAATATGCCTGGGTTCTGTATTAGTTTAATTTCTCATTCGGAATATGTGAAATGAACCTATCAAAGGAACCAGGAGAAATTTCTAAAAGTGGAGAAGATGGATCAGCGTTTCCCTTATTATCTCCCAAGATGGGGGTTAGCAGCAGCAGCTGGAGTGCTTACGCTACTTTTCCTAATGTGTGCACAGCAAGCAGTTTCAACCTCCTATCCATTTGTTGTGAAGATAAATAGATGATGCACCCAATGAATTTCTAGAACTATTTATTGTGGATATTTAACTCTGCTGCCAGTTTCCATCCCTCCACCTGCCAACCTCCCATAGATTTATCCACGCCATAAACCATGGGTGTAAACAATAGAAATACTTAACTAACTTACCAGTCACGTTGGTTCTGCCCCCCCCCCCAGTCCTGCTCCCCTAACAAAAATCCTGGCTACGCCCATGTCATAGAACAGCATGACCCCGCAAGTCCCTTAATTTTCTTGATATCTTCTAGGTGCCACAGTATCACAGAAGTTAAACCCCTAATTAACCTATCTACATACCCATACACACACCCTTAAATATCCTTGTCTACTTAGAACAGAGTCCAAACCCAAGAAGAGGAGAAAATAAACAGAGACAGTCTAACCAATTCATCTGTCTTTGTTTTTAGCACACTGAAGTGATGCTCTAACCCAAGGATAGCTAAGTGCTGTGCCCTCTAGCTTTGTTGGACTTCAATTCCCATCGGCCCCAGCCCACAGAACATGGTCAGGGATGATGGGAACTGTAGTCCAACATCTACAGGACTTTGCCTTCTCAACATACTGCAGAGAGAAAAGTCCTAAGGTACTTACATGTTTGTATTAGCAGTAGACGTCAGCCATTCTCCAGCCAAGCCAATGATATCAAGCCCTGTAGAAAGCTGGTTGAAAAAGCGAGGGTGACCTAGAAAAACAAATGACAGCATCTAAAGGAAACATGCATATTATCTATGCAACTGCATTGCTTCTGGTTCCCTGAGGTTTCACATTCTTTTATCAGTAGCCCCCCAAAAATCATTTTGCAAAATGTGTTGCATAAAGTTATGCCTTCAAACTAGAAACGCTACTGTTTGTTATTACTATTTACAAGAAGGAAACATGTTTATAATTTAGGTAGGTGGTAAATGGGAAATGCAATAGTTAACTCCATGCATTCATCTACTCCTTTTCAGAGAAGTGTATTAATCTAGAATGCACCAGCATTTGATTTATATGCATTAAAGTTAAGTCTCAATAAATAGGGATGGATCTGTGGATCAGGTTGCTTATTGTATAGTAATTATTTCTTTACCTCTGCTCTTCTTTAAGACTGAAATCCCATACCCACTAATCTTGGAATAAGCACCATTATATTCAATGAAACTTACTTCCAAGTAGACATGCATAGGGTTACATTTGTAGCCCTACAGGCAATGAATCACAAAGAGTTAGAAGCAACTCTGGGATGCCTCATTTTATATTTTGACTGCAGTTCTATAAATATTTTAATTATTGTATATTTTCTATTATTACTAATGAATTCAAAAATATAGCAGACACCTGTCACAGCATCCCTTCCCTCTAGCGTCCTATTAGGAAAACATAATTTCGAGACCTTCCATTCAGGGTGGCTGATTGCATATTTATTTAGCAGCTGATTAAAAGACTGCCAACCCCTTTCTTATAGCCAGATCACGGAAGCAAAGAGACCCGTGATCCTGACCCACAATTTAAGGAGCATCTTTTGTTTCCTATTTTCAACCAATGAGCTTTATTCAAGTGACCTTCAGAAAGAAAATTAGTTTTTAAAAAGTATCGGTTTTGAGAGTGAGAGACAGAAGGTAATTCAGAAAACGTATTTCATGCAAAACCATGCTGACAACCTAATGGCTTGTTCTGACACAAGTTCATAAAGCTGCCTGGTGCCCAGTAGCAGAGAAGAACACTGTCAGATCATATTAGGACTCACATTAAGGTTTGATGCACACACTTAAAAGGCCCTAGAAAAATCTAAATCTAATCACTGAACTACTTTTTCATGACTTCAGTGAAAACAGGTATTCAGCGGCCACATCATCGCTCCCTACTAGCAAGACTTAACCCAAACCTGTTCATTCTGTAAGTATTGCAAAATTAAATCCTTCATACTGTAATTAAAACAAAAAAATGAACAACTGGATTCAACTAGCAAGACATAATGTTTACTCCAAGGAAATCAACATCTGGAGGTAGTCCAAGATGATTTGATGCCCATGGTTGAAAATCCAAATGGTGTTGCACCATGATGGCATAAAAGAAAATATGAAAGTAGAAAACTAGCGTCAGGCATGCCCTGAACCCAGCACTCTCCTCCCCACAAATCTGATCGCCTGGGTCACCTGACTTTAAATATGACCTTTGAACTGAGGATGGTAGGCATGTCTGACTGGCACTTATAGAAACACAACAGTTGTCTTTTCAACAACCAGTTATGAAAGCAAAGTACAAGGTCCCGATCCAACTAAAGTTAGTCACACATAACCAGGGCATTTTTCAGCCAGAACTTACCAGAACTCAGTTCCAGCACCTCTCAAGTGTGCGCCATTGCCATTATAAGAGAACAATGGAGGTGTTCGTGGTGAGTTCTGGCACTTCTTTTTCCAGAAAAAAGCACTGCACATCACTTCCACTGCAACCAAGTGGACTCAGTCACAACTGATCTGTCCTACAGGTACAAGGGCTTGCTGTGAGTTAAAGTATTCTAGGAGCCTTGCTGTACACAACTGTTGTGTGTGACGGAAAACTCGTTTCAGTATCTGAGACAAAACAACTTTTCCCTTTGAACATGTGGCCCTCCCTTTGTTCTAGGACTACAACTCCCATAATCCCTGCCTGTTGCTCAACAGCATATGAAAGGCCACACAAGTTATCTATCCCTGCATTAAATAATTGTAAAGGCTGCAACTTTACGCACTCTTCCCTAGGAGTTAAGCCCCATTGAATACAGCGTGATTTAATTCTGAGTAAACATGTGTTGGTGAAAGCAGTGGACCACGTAGTATTGCTTTTAAAGGTCCTTGATCTCTCCCATGACAGAAAAGACAATAACTAATGATTTTAAATGGAAGTATTGATTTTAACTTAAATATTAAGAAATACTTTCCATCTGCAATGGGGACAAGCCATGGAGGGAGACTGTGGGATGTTCTTTCATGAAGGTAGTCAAGTAAAGTTTGGGTAACCATCCTTCTGGGATTTATGTGTATTCATACAGAATGCAGTATGAAGCTATATTACATCTGGTAACTGCTCAGCTGCGAATACCCAGGTCTTAAAAGAGCAACAGCATGGAAAGTGTGCAATGCCCATCTAGCCATAGCAGCAATGTAAGGTGATGAATAGGTCCACCATGATGTGCTGCAATGTATTACCTACCCATTTTAGCTCCCAACTATCTAATATTATTTGATCCAATGGGAGCTAGTAAATCCTTCAAAATGACAGGTGGCTGAGCTGCCTCATGTGATGTTCTGTTTCAGTGCTGAGTAGCATCATATGTGTTGACAGTGGCTGATTTCAGCCTAGGGATTCTGGCATGCTCTGCTGTCATTGCACTGTGTCCCCATATGTCATAATATCCAGGACAAGGCACATGAGACTACTGCCATCTCACCAGACTAGGTCTAGGTCTGGTTATTATTTGAATAGACTTCCCAAGAACCACATATATACCTCCATGGGTTCCATGATGGAAGAAAGCAGGTTATAAATGAAAAAAAGTAATAAATACTGGAGCAGAGTATGGTGGCTGTTGCCCCTTTTCTGACACCTGTTCTGTGATAAAAAGTAGTTTCCAGCTCAAAAATTACTTTTGTTTCCTTGCTCCACTGCTCTTTATAAAGAGTTGTAAAAGTGCATAGGACAATCTACTCAGGCTAAGTTCAGGGCATAGGAACATCATTTTTCTCCCATTCTTTCCTGAACAAGATTCCCAAGGAAGAACTTTGAACAACTGGCTTTTAAAAGTTGATGCCCAGACTAACTGCAAGCCTCTACCTGAGCCAGGCTGTAAAGGGGTCAGGGCACCCCAAGGGAGCCTCTGAGATTACACTCCAGCCAGAGTTCTTTCATAATGCAGCCCAATTGGACTCATTCCCCCAGCTCTAGCTTCTTTGTGCTTATCATTGGGACATCAGAAACAAAAATGAAAACGAGTCCAAACAGTAAGGTATAGGTAAAGGGACCCCTGACCATTAGGTCCAGTTGTGACCAACTCTGGGGTTGCGGCACTCATCTCGCTTTATTGGCCTAGGGAGCTGGCGTACAGCTTCCGGGTCATGTGGCCAGCATGACTAAGCCGCTTCTGGCGAACCAGAGCAGCACACGAAAACGCCGTTTACCTTCCCGCCGGAGCGGTACCTATTTATCTACTTGCACTTTGAGGTGCTTTCGAACTGCTAGGTTGGCAGGAGCTAGGACCAAGCAACGGGAGCTCACCCCGTCATGGGGATTCGAACTGCCGACCTTCTGATCAGCAAGTCCTAGGCTCTGTGGTTTAACCCACAGTGCCACCGACGTCCAAACAGTAGCTCATATCTACTGATGGCACAGCCCTCTTCTGAACGCATCACCTTAAGTATGATTAAGAGCAAGGTTTCACCAAGAAGCGTGGGGTAGCCTGACTCACTACAGAAACCCTCAGCTGCTTCCTAGAAGCTGCTGGTGTAACTGCTACATGACCCCACACTGGTCTCCTGGACAGTTCACCTGCTATTCTGCGCCAGAACTTGCTTGTGAAACTTTGCTGACTCTGCTGGACAGCTCCCCTGTGAGATTTAAAACATTTCAGGCACACTAACACACCCCTTCTTGAAAATTACATATAAGTGGGCCTGAGAAAAACTCATACTCACAAATGAATGGGGGAAGATTACATTTGATACCTTTCCCTTTATCGGAAAAGACCTGGAAACCGGAGACTCCCCTTGCTTGATGCACTATCAGAAGGGCGGCCAGGTATTAATGATCCCAAGAAACCAAATTCTCCCCCTTTCCTTTCTTTGCTTTTTGGCATTAAATGTCTTGGGAACATAAAGAAGAAAAACTGCAAATTCAGTGTCATTTATGCCCTCATTTACCTAATGATATCGTTCCCCCGAGATACACGCCGCTTGCATTTCATCAAGTGAAAAAGGGATTACGACTTTTCAAATGTGCTTGTCTGACCTGTCTACACCCAACACTACAAAAATGCCCATCTGAGTGACAAACGGAACTGCCAACAGTCTGCCTACTGTAAGCAACAAGGCAAGATTCACTTCGGAAGGAAGGGCTCTATGTGTGTGTGTGTGTGTGTGTGTGAGAGAGAGAGAGAGAGAGAGAGAGAGAGATTCAGGCCCCATGCACAGGAAAGCACAGGCTTGCAGTCTGATCCTATAGGGCAGCCGTGTTGCCATGGTGGGCGGGTTTCCTTAGTCTGACAGGTAGGGTGGTGGGGTGGGGAGCCAAATTCACAGACAAATTTGAAAAGCCTTTGCTTCTTGCATATATGTAGCCTTTGCTTCTTGCATATATTCAAGTTAAGCTGCAGGAGGGAAGCAGTGCATTTTAAAAGCATTTGCCACTGCTGCTTTTGATATGCTTCATAATATGCCCAGATAGATATAGGCATTCCTGGAAAATAACGTAGTCAGAAATATAAGGGGGGGACCTTATACCCTCCTCCTCTCTCTGTAGTGCTCCTGTCAGAAGCCAGTCCCTCTTGAGTTCAGAAGGAATTGCTCTCAGGAAAGTGTGCCAGCTAGGATCACAACCAGGGCCAGCCGACCTATGAGGCAAGGTGAAGTTATAGCCTCGGGTGGCAAGATCTACAGGGGCAGCAGATCCAGACTCCAAGGAATGCACTGCCCACTGTCCCAGTATACCCATTGGAAGTTGGATCTGCTGCCTCCTTGGCAGCCCCCTGCCCAATACCACCTCCACAGTGGCTTTTTGGAAAATAGACCAGGCACTGCTGGTCTCCTCCCACCCTTGTTCCCGATGTAGATCTTTATTCTCCCTTGTGGTTTACCCCAGGGACCAAAATGTCTTGGGCTGCCCCTGATCACAGCCACTGCATATTTATCAAAGTCCACATGGGTTCAGAAACAACTGTTTGGTCCAGACCACCTCTCTCCAGCTAACTCTCCAGCTAACTCCAGTATATCTGAAGGAGCGTCTCCACCCCCATCGTTCTGCCCGGACACTGAGGTCCAGCTCCGAGGGCCTTCTGGCGGTTCCCTTACTGCGAGAGGCCAAGTTACAGGGAACCAGGCAGAGGGCCTTCTCGGTAGTGGCGCCCGTCCTGTGGAACGCCCTCCCATCAGACGTCAAAGCGATAAACAACTACCTGACATTCAGAAGACATCTGAAGGCAGCCCTGTTCAGGGAAGTTTTTAATATGTGACATTTTAGTGTATTTTTTATTTTTGTTGGAAGCCGCCCAGAGTGGCTGGGCCCAGCCAGATGGGCGGGGTACAAATAATAAATAATAATAATAATAATAATTATTATTATTATTATTATTAAACTCACACCCCAATCTTTAACATCTTTCTTGGGAATAGGCCTCATGGAAACCAGGATGAAAGGCATCAAAATTAAGTTCACTCAGTATGAGAGCATAAGACTCTTTTTCTTTCCTTTTTGGAAGTATGTGGGATAAGAGAAGTGTTTTTCTTTTTCTTTTCTTTTTTGACATTTATATTTGGGCATTTCTTCCATGATGGAACTGAAGGTGGTATATACCGTATTTTTCGCTCCATAAGACGCACCTGAACATAAGACGCACATAGTTTTTAGAGGAGGAAAAGAAGAAAAAAAAATATTCTGAACGGAACAGTGGATGTATGATTTTTGTGGTTCATGCTGTGGCCACAGACATGATATGTGATTTGACGGTGAGTTTGGGGTAGCCCAATGCAAAAATCCTGAGAATCCATGTGGAGCCATGCCATTGCGGCCTCACGAAACAGTGGGTGCGTGATTTTTTGATGCAGGCTATAGCCATGGACATGCTATGTGGTCTGATGGTGACTTTGGGGTGACCCAGTGCAAAAATCCTGAGGATCCATGTGCTTTTACCTCCCCACTCCCAGGCAGCCTCCTTTATATCTAGAGTCCCTTATCCCTCCCGATCGCTTGCCGATCAGCTGCTCAGCGGTTTTGTTTCAACACCCCCTTCCCTTTTTCTAATAATAAAAAAGGCATGATCTGCTTTTCGCCCCTGGGCAATTTGGCTCCAGGGACCATGCATTCGCTCCATAAGACAACAGACATTTCCCCTTACTTTTTAGGAGGAAAAAAGTGTGTCTTATGGAGCGAAAAATACGGTATTTGGCTCCCCGGTGGTCTCTCATCTGGGCACTAGCCAGACCCAGATGCTCTTGGTTTCAGCCAGGGTGCCACAACTTGTGTGCCTTCAGACTCTGGCCTGGCAGAAGCCCTTGCCCACATACCCCTCACTTCTGGACAGAGCTCCAGGGCATTCTCTCACCTGTCCTGACTCCATATTTCAGTGTGTCCCTGCAGTCCACCAGGATCTGCTCGAGTGACTCTGGGTTGTCAGACAGCTCAAGGTTGAAGCCTTCCATGCCTTCCAGGAGCTGGTGTGGGTGGTGGAAGTCCAGGACTTTGGTGGACCTGTCGAAGGTCTTCCTCACATACGTCAGGAGAATGTCCACCACCTCCAGGAGGAATTGCACCGTCTGCTCCTCACCATTCTTAGCTGGTAGCAGATCTGAGGAAGGGACCGATAAAACAACAACAGCCATGTTAAGGGAGGTCAACAAGAGGGTGTGCGATATCTCCCCACCCCTCGTGTCACCCTCTTTTGCCAAGCTACTCCTAAGTGCATGTTTATTGACTGAGTACAATTATACCCTGGTTTTCCTTCAAGAAGCTCAAGGAAGTACACAGACTCTTAACAAGTCACCCGCACTATCTTCACAACAACCCTGCGAGAAAGGTTAGACCGAGAGATGGAATGAGTGGACCCATGTTGCACCTCAAGCTTTTTGACCAAGTGGGACTTTGAATCTGGGTCTCCCCAGTGGCCAACACTCTTTTTATCATGTTTTTTAAATTAATTTTTGGATCAGCAAAACTATACAACTAACAAGAAACAGTGCAACATGTTGCTGACTGACCCTCTTAAATGCTACACCACACCAACTGCCTTCTGCTACACATTGGTTAATCCAGAATAGCAACCACAAGTATATCAGTACGCAAATTTAAGACCACTAAAACCCTTTGCCATCTCTGTGCTCAAGAACAGGGTAGCTAAACAGGAAAATGGATGGAATTTCTGCATTCTTTCAATGCATGCTTTGGGGAGATGTGGATGTTCTGATCCGTGTTAGTACATACACATGTAAAAACAGGATGTGGTGCTCTGGATTATTCCCTCCCCCCCCCAAAAAAAGCAAGAGTGTCCTTGTCTCCATACTCACTCTTCTCATCACTGCATCTAGGTAAGGTAAGGTAAAGGTAAAGGGACCCCTGACCATTAGGTCCAGTCGTGACAGACTCTGGGGTCGCGGCGCTCATCTCGCTTTATTGGCCGAGGGAGCTGGCGTACAGCTTCCGGGTCATGTGGCCAGCATGACTAAGTCACTTCTGGCGAACCAGAACAGTGCACGGAAACGCTGTTTACCTTCCCGCCGGAGTGGTCCCTATTTATCTACTTGCACTTTGACGTGCTTTCGTACTGCTAGGTTGGCAGGAGCAGGGACCGAGCAACGGGAGCTCACCCCATCACAGGGATTTGAACCACTGACCTTCCGATCAGCAAGTCCTAGGCTCTGTGGTTTAACCCACAGTGCCACCCGCGTCCCTCTCTAAGTAAGGTATGTCTAACCTATTTAGAGCCAGGGCTCACTTAATCCCAGTGTTGTAGGTTCATGCCCCCACGTTGAGTGAAATCTTCCTTCATTGCAGAGAGTTGGACTAGGTGACCCTCATGGTCCCTTCCAACTCTACAATTCTGGGGTTCTAGGAAGCTGCTCTATATTAAGTCAGAGCATTGGTCCAACTAACACCAGTATTGTGGGCACTGACTGGCAGCGGTTTTGCAAAAGAACAAGAGAAATTAACTTGCTGGATTTTTGCCTGCCACATAACTGTTAAAGGCACTAGATCCCTAGCTGAAAAGCAGTTGGCACACCTGTCTCAAGCCCCTCCCTCCCCAGGCAGGTAGCCCTTTAACTGGAGAAATGCAAGAAGGGTAGGGAAGAAAAGGATTCCATCTCAATTCTCAGAAAGGCTGGTGCACCCTGATTTAATGGTTGTTGTTTTTAGCCAAAAAAAAAAGTGTAGTGTGAACCAAAACACACACAACTCTGCCTGCTTTATATGACCTGGGACTATGAAGAACTATGCAAAACAACACTTCGTGGCATCTTAAAAACTAACAGATTTACTATGGCATAAAATTTCATGAACTAACCAGAGCCTGCTTGGTCAGAGGCATGAAGTGTTATCCTCACTCTGTCAGATTATATTATATATTATATTATCCGGTGGGGAGGTGGCGACGGAGGATGATGAGGCCACTTGCTGAATTTCTGCTTCTAAGCAAGCTATTAAAAATACAGGGACCCGGCCAGAATAGTTACACAGGCTGTTGCTCCTGTTGAACTCTGGCCCCACTGTTTTCAATATTTCCTTCCATACTCAAGAACAGAACAAAGATAACATGTGTCTGATGGTAGAGATTGAAGCCCACAAAACCTTGTGTTGTGACAAATCTAATAGTCCTCAAGGTGCTTCAGGCCTCCTTTTTGTTTTGCGACAACAAACTAACACAATTGTCTCTCTGAAGAGCAAGTGTCTTCGAGCATGTACAGAGTGCCTTTCCTGCATCACTGGGCAACTATAAACTATTCCCTGGTGGGTTGGTGGGTTGGGGGCAAGGCTTACTTCCAGGAAGGTCTGTGCCTCTCAGTGTTAGAAATTACTGAGCTCTTTCTATCTCAATCTCCCCCCCCCAAAAAAAACACCCCCACACTCATTCAAATACATTTATCTTACATTTGGGGTGCATTAACAGCTTGCTATATGTTTTATATCTTTGGAAATCATCCACAAGCATGAATATAACTAGCTTTAGTGCATCTTTGCTTATATATAGTAGTTGAAGGCTCCTACTGTGTGGATTCAGATCTGTTGATTGCAGTGTGTGCGTGTGTGTTTCTGAAATTCATAAATTTAACTCCACATGGCAAGCGATCTGAAACAGTCTTGAATAATTAAATGTCTACACCTTTTCAGTGTACATGTAGAATCATGACTGTGGTCTTTCAGCAGCATCTGACCTACCTAAATGGTAGTTATTGTGGGAAGCAGCTTTTTGGACACCGAAAGCACATTGCCTGCTGCAGTCAGAGGCTACAGTATGACTGGCTGAGTTTGCCATTTTATAAGTTCCTAGGGCCCCAATAAAGGGAGAGAAGTACAGGAGAAGTGGATTGGAGGTAAAGATAAAGGTAAAAGAACCCCTGACCGTTAGGTCCAGTCGCAGATGACTCTGGGGTTGTGGCACTCAACTCACTTTATTGGCCGAGGGAGCCAGCGTACAGCTTTTGGGTCTTGTGGCCAGCATGACTAAGCTGCTTCTGATGAACCAGAGCAGCGCACAGAAATGCTGTTTACCTTCCTGCCAGAGTGGTACCTATTTATCTACTTGCACTTTGATGTGCTTTCGAACTGCTAGGTTGGCAGGAACTGGGACCGAGTGGCTCAAAAGGCCACCTCCAGCCCTTGATTTTACATGCTGCTCTGTAGGAGCTCTCCTTGGTGCTGAATTTGAATTCAGCTTCATCAAACCCTGAGCTACACAGTCTGCATGCATGACTCAAAGCCTGAAACACCTGAAAAAGATAGGAATGCCTCTGCTTTTGTACAAAGTGTGTTTCCTTTCACTTCTATGGAGTCATCACAGTACTACTGTCAAGTCTCAGCTTAAGTGGGGGCTGCTAGCTAAGACCCCTGCTGCACCAGAATTAAAGCCTGTCTAGCCTAGTGTCCTGTTAGCAGCAGAAGCCTAATCAGGCAAGTGCCCCTGGAAGCCCATATAAGCAAGTCATGAAGGCAACACTTCCCACACATTGTCTACCCTACCCCAGCAACTGTTGTTAATGTCTCTGCACACGGAAGCTTCATATAGCTATGGTGGCTGACAAGCCATGAATTTTGTCCAAATCCCCACTGTTATAACTCCATCTAAAGCTGCTACACTAACCCCACTTACATGGGAGTAAGAAGAAGAAGAAGAGTTTGGATTTGATATCCCACCTTTCACTCCCCTTCAGGAGTCTCAAAGCGGCTAACAATCTCCTTTCCCTTCCTCCCCCACAACAAACACTCTGTGAGGTGAGTGGGGCTGAGAGACTTCAGAGAAGTGTGACTAGCCCAAGGTTACCCAGCAGCTGCATGTGGAGGAGCGGAGACGCGAACCCGGTTACCCAGATTACGTGACTACCGCTCTTAACCACTACACCACACTGGCTCCCCTTGAATTCAATGCAACTCACTTCTTGAGAGGTGGTGGTGGTTAAGCCAGTGGCCATCACCACATCTTGTGTCGGTGACTCCAATACATTAATAAACTTGGGATAGATAAAGACTCCCTTTTGCCTGTATTGGTGATTCTCCTGTCAATCAGCTTCAGTGGACGACTCCCATTTTAAGTTGTGTGGGAAAGTGTGTGTGTGTGTGTGTGTGTTGGGTGAGGGGACACTTCTCTTTCTTCACTCTGCGCATAATTCCCCATCAGCGCAATCCCAACCATGTCTACTCAGAAGCGAGTCCTACTGAAATCAACGGGGTTTACTCCCCGGAAAGTGGAGTTAGGATTGCAGCCTTTAAACCTCTAAGGACCATCTCTCTCCTCCCCCCGCCCCCCTCAAATATTAGGGAAGGGCCATAATTCAGTGGTGGGACATCTACTTTGTATGCAGAAGGTCTCAAATTCACCCAGCCCAGCATTCTCTAAGTAGGGTGGGAAATATCCCCTTTCTGAGATCAAGGCCAGCCAGGGCAATCACTGAGCTACCAATGGACACAGTGATTCTCTTAAGCAATGTGCCTGTATCTTTAGGAGAAGGGCTATAGGTTGAGAACTGTTTTCCATTAAGGAAGTCTCATGTTCATTCCTCAGCATCTTCAGGCTGAAACTCTGAAGAGCCCTGCTAGTTCAGTGCAAGAAGCACTGAACTAGATGGACCAATGGTATTACTCAAGATCAGACAACTCAACGCTTCGCTTTTCCTTTTGGGAAAGGAACCCCTGTTAGTGGGAATGTGTCCTACCTGGGAAATAAGAAGAATTAGCAGCAGAAAGAAGGAGGAGGAGGAGGAGGAGGAGGAGGAGGAGGAGGAGGAGGAGGAGGAGGAGGAGGAGGAGGAGGAGGATTTACTTACCCCGGGCGTAGAGGTTTGAGAAGTCCGTCTCGGTCCTCCGGAACCGGGTTTCCTTCTCGCTGTTCTCGCAGGCCAGCAGGTTCTTGGAAGATTGCCTTTCCTTGAGCGCGCTCACCAGCCGGCTCTTGTCTTCCAGGCTGTTGTTCCTTTGCAAGAACCCTACATCGTTATTACAAGGCGGACAGGTCAGAGGAGGCTTGATCTCGCTTCCCAACATCTTGGCTTAGCAAAAGAACCACCGAGCCGCTCAGGAGAGTTAGCAGGCAGGGGAGAAGGAAGGAGACCCTCCGTGCTGCTGATAACCCCACCCAGCAAAGCACCCAGCCACACCTGCTCCCCCCCCAAACTGGTTCCTGCTTTGCCAGACCCCACCGCCCGTTCCCGCAGTGGGGCTGGTTCTAGAGGATCTCCCCTATCGAGGTCGGAGAGGGAGAGTATTTATGGGGAGAGACAGCTCGCCCCGAGGAAGGAGCGCTCAAAGGACATCAGCTGCAAAAAGCCAGTCAGGCAAGAAAAAAGGACGGGGTGCGAGGGAGGGGGGAGAGACCGCACGCGCAATTTTTCGTCATTTAGGGCAATGGCAAATCCTTGTTAAATCGATCGGACAGATGCCACTCCTGCAAAAGAGAGACAGGAAGGGAAAGATCAGGACGGAGTCAATGGCATCCTGGCAAGAGGCCCCCACCTCGTCCCAACTTTCCTTCCCCAGCGGTGGAAGTTTTGTGGACTTCAGGCGAAAGGGGCTCCGTCCGGACTGCCTGGACTGTGATAGGGGCCATGGGCGGCCATCGAAGCCGCCAAGCAAACGAAGAGGGTGTTTGTTTTTTGGAATACCAAAAAAGTAGCCTCTTAAAAACAGCAGAATCTGGGAAACGCACACCCTCGCCGCTGCTTTTAAGCCTCTCTGGTTTCATAGTCAGTCCTGGAACACACAGCTGGACGTGAACTTCACAGTTTTCGGAAGTGATTCCCACTGCAGTCACACAGGAGTCTGTAGGCACTAAGCGCAGAATCCCGACCTCCCTTGGAAGGTATGGCCTGCATTCTGGCTTTTACTTATCCAGGGTACACCACCACCAGTGAAACCGACCCCATATGAACCACCTCCGACGCTGTGATCCTCATCTGAGGCTTGTGTGCTCCCTCCACGAGAGGCAGGGAGGGTGGCAACAGGAGAACAGGGCCTTTTTTGCAGTGGCTCCCCTTTTGTGTAATGCTCTCCCCAGGGCGACTCGCCTGGCGCCTTCATTATGCACCTTTAGGCGCCAGGCGAAAACTCTTGTCTTTAACCAAACCTTTGGCTGATTAAACTATCTATGGCCTTTTAAATGCGTTTGTGGAAGGGTGTGTGTGATTGGTTTGCTTTTGTTTGGTCTTATTGTTATGCATTTTGTGTTCTTGTTTCCTAATTTTATGCGGTGAGCCGCCCTGTGACCTTGGGATGAAGGGCGTATACAAATTTAATAAATAATAGCAACAACAACTCCTGGAAAGTGGAGGAGTGTGTGGCGGTGCTCTTTTTCCAATCCCGGAAACGCAGAACTGCGAAAGGTTCAGGCACACCGCTGGCAACGGTTGTTCTTATTTAGAAGCCAGTTACATTGATTTCAAAGGCCGATCAGCAGCGCTGTTCAAATCGATAGCATTCAACCTACGGGAGAGATATTACGGAGGTGTCTATCGGATGCTTTAACAGTAAAGGGCCGCCTCTTTCTCTGTGTCTCTAAGACCTACTTTTCTGAATACAGCTTTACTTCCATGTTAAGCTGCAACCCTAACCCCATTTACCCGAGAGTTGCCGACAAAGGTCCGTATAGTTAAAGCTATGGTTTTCCTAGTAGTGATGTATGGAAGTGAGAGCTGGACCATAAAGAAGGCTGATCCCCGAAGAATTGATGCTTTTGAATTATGGTGCTGGAGGAGACTATTGAGAGTCCCATGGACTGCAAGAAGATCAAACCTCTCCATTCTGAAGGAAAGCAGCCCTGAGTGCTCACTGGAAGGACAGATCGTGAAGCTGAGGCTCCAATACTTTGGCCACCTCATGAGAAGAGAAGACTCCCTGGAAAAGACCCTGATGCTGGGAAAGATGGAGGGCACAAGGAGAAGGGGATGACAGAGGACGGGATGGTTGGACAGTGTTCTCCAAGCTACCAGCATGAGTTTGACCAAACTGCGGGAGGCAGTGGAGGACAGAAGTGCCTGGCGTGCTCTGGTCCATGGGGTCACGAAGAGTCGGACACGACTAAACAACAACAAAAAGCCCCAATGAATTCTGTAGCACTTCTTCCTTCTGGGCAGACACGATTAGGATCGGAGCCTTAGCATGACAAAGGAGAGCAGCCTCACTGAGATTTCTTCTTCCTTGTTGCTGGAGACATCGATTTAGGGAAAGGTCCGTGACTCCCCCCCCCAAAGCGGAGGAAAATGTGTGTGTGTGTGTGTGTGTGTGTGTGTGTGTGTGTGTGTGTGTGTGTGAAGCTCAATCCGCATCAAATGTGCTCTGAAACTGAAATGAGTGCGGCGCTTAGTACTGCGCACGCTTTGCCAGGGAACGAGTCCCTCTGAGATTGGACTAATTTCTAAGCTAACAGGCACATAGGACCAGACTTTAGGATGTGGCTCCCCATCAGGAAATCTAGTTCGGCGCTCGCGCTCTGAAATCCACGGCGGCTGCTGATTAATCGGTCAAAGCTTCCCGGCTCCAGTCAGACTCTACCCCAGCTTTCCGGGTTTGCTTTTCGTTGCCATGGGAACAGATGCCCTATTATGCCTGGCTTCAATGGGACCACCTCGGAGGCTAATCTATATGTTGGAAGGCTGCGCTCGCTTCACATCCTCCGAAAGAGAATTATTTCCTTCGTGGGAGGGGGCGGGGGTAGGGGGCGTGAATGAATGCGTTTCCCCCTAGCATCAGTTTGTCAGTACTAAGCTCGCAACGCACATAACTGCGATAGATTTCAACGCAAACGAATTCAAAATAAAAGGAGAACGACCTCTACTCTTGTTTTTATATAACCTTTTTTTAAAAAAGAGACTTTCCGAACAGGATTCTCTCATTAGTTTGGTTCCTTTTTTTTTTTTAATTAAGACATAAAAATAACTGTACTTCGTGTTTAAGGCTTCCAGTCTTCCTTCCAGAATGGAAGAATGGTATAAAGAGGTGTGGGATATAGCTATTAATGATAGATTAACATGTGCCATTAAGGTGGGGAATATGCAGGAGAAATTATTTTGAGGAGATATGGAGGGTGTTTGTAGAATTTGTACTGTTAAAACGGAAAGGGGTCAAATAATCGCAAGAGGTGCTGGAATTTTGGGAGGTTGGATAGTTACAATGGAATGGTGTCCAGGGGTGGGGTGCACATTTTTATTCTTATTTATTTCTGATTATTACTTTTTAAAACAAATCATAATCAAGGCTTCCAATCTACCTAGGATGAAGCCACTTTCAGCATAGTGCGATTTACTTCTGAGTAAACGTGCGTAGGCTGGCACTGTAAAAGGGGGGTGGGGAAAGCTCCTCTGAGATTATAAATTAAGCCATAACGAAAGTTAGCTCCTATTCAGAAACGTTTTAGGTGCAAAGAAACCGGATGGAGGAGCAGGACACCCCACTCCTGGGAAACGTTTCATCCGAAGCAAATCCCACTCGTGAGTGCAGAATGGGTCACCCTGAGCCTGTAGCTCAGCGACAGAGCCGCTGCTGTGTATCCAGAAGGTCATGGGTTCAAATCGCAGCATCTCCATGAAGGGGGGTGGGAAAGAGCCTTTCCTGAAGTCCCAGAAAGCCGCAGCCAGCTCGTGTAGACAAGACAGAGGAGGTTAGATGTACCGATGCTGTAACACGCAATAGACACTAGCATTGTATGCTCCTGCCCAAACAAGGGTAGGGCTATTGAAAATGATGGGCGTTAGGTTAGTAGACTGCAGGGTCTACTCTGAGCATAACTAGCAACCATTTGGCCTGATTGGAACCAAGTGGTTGCCTTCTCTGCTGTCGCCTTCAGTGGGGAGCCCGTTGCACGGATCCCATAGCTTCCTTCGAAGAACTGCGTCTTCAGTCGAAGAGGAAGACGTGCGTGCAAGTGTCGGTGCGGGAGGGAGGGGAAGCCCCCCAAAGCAGTCGCTATTTCTGTCTTCTCCTGTCACTCTGACTCAGGCTCACGATTTTGGGACGCGCTTCCTTTTCTTCCGGCTCACTCACGCCCTCGCGGTTCCTTCCTCGTGATGACAGCCAGGCCTCCTCCCCCCCCCCCATTGCAAGGAGTAGCCCAAGGCAAAACGTCCCGCTGACTTCAGTAGGAGGCAGGAGAGGGGGAGGGGCAGCGGGTGGGGTTTACAGAAAGGCACGTGTCAGCAGGGGCTCCCTTTCAAGGCGAAAGCACGCGGTGCCAAGAATAAACTTGGGAGGTGTCGCGTCTTCGCTAGAGCGCGCGCGCATCGGACCGAAGAGAGGAGGGAGCTTGCTTTTTTTAAATAAAGTTTTCAGCCGAGGAAGGCTGCAAAACGTGACTCCCACTGACTCATCCACCAGAGGTCCCCGCTTGTGACAGGCAAACTACCGCAATCTTAATTTTAGATTTCTGCTCAAAAAGCGAGAGAGGAACGAATGCGCCGTATTTAGCAGCGATCGGGAAGCTACTGGTCCTCCCAATGTTTCTGGACTACAACTCCCATCCACCATGACCCATTTGGCATGCTGGCTGGAACCGATGGGAGGTGGAGTCCCATAAATTTCTGGAGGAGCCACAGCTCCCCTACCTCTTGCTCTAAAAGCGGTCAGGGAGGAATTCTCCCCACAAAGTGGCTGGGGAAACCCAGACAGATAAGCAGAGTAAGGATAAAATGATGCTAATACTAATAATAAAGCCCTGGCAAAGAGAGGCTCAAGATCACCCCGTGAGTGGGGAAATTGAACTTAAGTCTCCCCCTATTATTTATGTCTCTCCAAGTTCAGTTTAGGTTTTTTTGGTGCGTAAAGAGACAGGAAGGGGTCGCTGTTCTCCAGAGAATACGGTTCGATGAGTGCGCGTGTGCTGTGCCTCTGTGTGCGCGCGCTTGATGCACTGGAGAGGACATCAGCCTTCTTCAATTCCAAAAGGCACTGAGCTTGCCAACAACTGAAAGAATGGTAACGGGGGTCCCTTGAGCTGAAG